ACATTTGGTGCAACATTTACCAATTTTAATGCAAATGAGCCTTATTGCAAAACTGGGGAAAAATCAGTAACGGCCCGTCCACACAGCAGCTTTAAAAAAATCTTGAAAATCTTGGAGCTGGGCGTGTCTGAAAGCTTGGGGATTTTTTGCGACCAACGACCAATCACATGAATCTCCCGCCCCCGACATACAAAGCAATAGCAATGTTAAAACGAAGTAAACTGGATATAAAATCCCCAAACAGGCGAAAACCTACCAGTTTCACCCACTGTCTCTGCCACCTCCCTCCATGCCTGGTTCCTCCAGTTTGTATCCCGGTAAGTTATTAGCGACTGGTCATAAAGAACCGGTTGATTTGCTAAAGCAATAACTAATTTCTCCTCCATTTTCAGGAATATAGAAAATGAACTGCGGTCTGGCTCTCCCAGCTTGCACGCGGTTTGATTGGCTAGCGCTTGTACTGTCAGATTTGCATAAACAGGATTTGATTGGCTGACGCTTCCACCTCAGCTTAAAAAAAATCCTGGAAATCCTGGAAATCTTCGCTTTGCTTCCCCACAATGCAGTTCGGCGAAAAGCGAGGCAAAGTGACGTCACCCCATTCAAAGTGAATGGGCAGAGAAGCGCTGGAAGCGTTGGAAGTTTTTTTTAACGCTGCTGTGTAGACGGGCCGTAATGGTTACACAAGGCAAAAAATCGTTATGACATCATAAAGTGGCCAAAATCTGATCAGCTCATTTTCAGAGAGGTTTTTATATAAATGGATCAGGACAAAAAGTGAGCGAATCTTTTTTCCTGACATTTTCATAACCTCTTTACACAGAGGGGACACATGTTGATGTATAAAATACAGGCAAAAGTGGATTTTGCATAACAGGTGACCTTTAACATCTTACCTAGCTCAGTGGTGAACTGTGGTCCAGTGGTTTCCATGGCTCCTAGTTCTCTTTCCGCTCTGTCCAAAGGGAGTCTATGTGGCCTTGCTGCTGTCCTGTACATGAGAGGGTCCATGTCTCCATTCTGCAGTCCGTTATAAGGGACCCTCATTGGAGGAACAAAGTGATGCCCTCCCGGTGGAAGAGCCTTGTACGTCATAGCTTTTCTTATCCGATCCCCTAAGGCATGTTTCCCAGGTCCAACAGCCACCTTCTTCTGCTTCTGTGTGGGACCACCTGACCCTGAACTTCCTATCCCCAGAACAGCTCCTACTCTAACTCCAACAGCTGGGCCAAACGTCCTTTTTTTCTTTCGGGTCTCAGACCGAGCTCTGGAGTTTTCTGTAGCAGATGGCTGGCTGGTGATAAGGGGCTCCTGACGATTTTTTGGAACCTTGGGCCGTTTGTGTGAAAGCAGTTTCAGGCTGTTGTACTGGTCAATAAATTCCTCGCAGTGCAGTAGGTGGTGCTCTGGCTCCCATGTGTCCTCCTTACTGCCATAACCTTTCCATCTTATCAGGTATTCCCACTTGCCCTTCTTGTTCCGCCTCTTGTCCACGATGCGCTCCACCTGAAGGCAACATACAAAGAAATTAGGAAAGGTTTTATAGAATAAAACATGATGTCAATGATGACCAAAGTAATGTGACTATGTTTTTTGCCATAATCAAGTATTGCTGTAATTATGTACAGTTTGATTTTTAACTGTATTTTGAGCCATTGCTAGGGAGTATAAAAATGCAAAAAATGATATATTGTGTGACATTTGTCGTGTTCAATATTAGGGCTTATTCTCTGAGATGAGCTACAAGCTGCTATCATCGTTAATCCTTAAACATCAGCTTTTGGAGGCCAAACCAAACCCAGAAAAGCCTGTGTAATTTAGAATATATTAGACCAGCTGAGAGCATAAAACATCAGCAAATGCTTATTTTGACGAAGGTACTCTATTATGTGCATCTACGAAATAAATCCAGTCTAAAAAGGGACACTTTTCAGAAAATACACAAATTCTTATTCAATTAAACTACGTGACTACGGTTCTGGTGTCTTTCTTTATCAGCATAGTAAGAGAACAACCTGAATGTAATAAAGGATGGCATATAACACCAACACATATACATTTGAATTAAAAAAGGAAGATGTTGCATATGGCAATGACATATTCCATCATTTGCTAAAGGACTAACTATGACATGATTGTCTACAAACTTGCAACCAATCACTCAACTAATCAGAGTGTGAATCATTGCTTTGCAATTCGACTTGATTGCATTCAACTTGATTTGCAAGCCAGAAGGTGCTGATAAGACTCTTCTGAGCAGTACCATAGTTTCATATTAGCACATACAGTACATCCCTCTTTCACAGAGACAGGGTTTTGGCAGACTAAACTTGGGGTTTTAATGCCATTGAAAAGGAGCAGGAAGTAAACTAAAAGGTAATATTTTGTGACTCCTTTAATGTAAATTCTGGTGGTTTTCGATTGACCAAATCTGTATGAAAGGTTTTGATATTATATACTCATTTAATCCAAACATTCAAATGTTTGACTACATCACCAAAAAGTATATAACACACAGGAAACAGACAAAATCACACATCAACTCACATAAAAACAGCCTTACCCCACACAAACATAGACTGTCAGCACCACCTATTCTCAAAATATGCAAGTCCAAACCTGCACCATTGATGAATGAATACAGGTTTTGGTTGAATATCTATGCGTAATCTTCTTTATCACTGCCTGACTTCAGGGTACATTTATGCTGACAAACGCATGACGTGCAATATACAAATCACAAGCATCCTCAGGCATCTTCTGATTTTAGTGTCTAATAAGAAACAGTTACTCTAAAACAGGGATCAGCAACTACATTTGTTCAAGGGCCAACATTATTCCTAGAGACACTTTCGGTCTAGTAGCCTCACTTCTAATATTTTGCTAAACATTTGCTAGATACATGTTGGCTAGCTAATGAGCTTCACATATCAATTTGAAAAACTGCGAGGCTCCACTTGCAGCCCCCCTCCTCCGCACCACAGTTACTCTGCTGCGAGACGCTGCATGCAACCCCAACCCTGACTGACTTCCTGCGTCCCTGTGTAACTGGTAAACCGATAGAATTGGATCATAAAATCGTGGTGTTTTTGCAACTTCAGCATAGGGGATTGGGATGTTTATTGAATTTCGGTTTAACACATGTATGGCTCTGCCACTCAGCGCTGCTGCTTGCTTCTAGAGATGGGTGAGTCCTGATTCATCCGGATCATTAACCCGGATCGCAGTAATGAGCTGGTCGTGACGAGTCTCCCAAGTCCTTTGAGTCCTACTCCTGGTGACGTACAAATTAAAACTATAAATTGCGTCACTCGCCACCCTCCTTATAACATGTAAAATCACATTACAGCGTACCCCAGTCCATCTGCCTAGCCTTTAGCAAGTAGGATAGCTGCCAGAAGTTATGGTTTGGCTCAGGGGACGCGGATCAGTGCATCTTCTTGCAGACTCGTGCGGACTCAGAGCCGTAACCGTAGCAGATCCAGAGATCCAGGCAGACTCATCATGGACGAGTCAACAGCAGACTCAGATTCGCAAATCCTGACTCACTGAATCATGGGAACTTCCTTCACTTCCTGCAGACTCGTGGGGACTCAGAGCCGTAACCGTATTGCAGATCCAGAGATCCAGACTCGTCATGCACGAGCATAGCCGCGGGAAATGGGAAGTAATTTTACTTAGGGGTTGCGGATAAAAGTGGGGAGATATTTCAACAGCAGTAACATGAAGTTTTTCAAATGTACACCATTCGCAGCACCGCCTCTAGCACCCCTACTTCCCGCGGCTATTGTGCACGAGTCAACAGCAGACTCAGAGAGAGAGACAGCAAGCGCATTTCGTGGCATCTGCGGGCAGTGGCAAGTACTTCCGGCATCTGCCACGGAGGCCGCAACTTCGTGGTATCTGTGGCAAGTATATGCCACAGATGCCACAACTTGCCGTGGCAAGTATATGCCAAAACCATGCCACAACTTGACGTGGCAAGTATATGCCACAACTTAGATATGCCACAACTTGCCGTGGCAAGTATATGCCACAACTTGCCGTGGCAAGTAAATGCCACAAGTTAAGAGTTAAGAGAAGGTTTACGGTAGCTGCCACTCGCCTTCCGTGGCAAATGCTGATATTTAAACCCGTATTTATCGCGTAAAATGTCGCTGTTTTGGCATGACTTTTAATCGGACTGATCTGCTGATGATCTGTTACTGATGGTCCGATCATATTTTTCAAAAAGATTAAACATTATATGTTCTATAGATTTTACTTGGAGAACGTGGTTTGTTAAAATAAATAAACGTGCTATTTTTATGATAATACTCAAGATATATTATTAGTAAGTTGACATAAAGATCTAACATTGTTGACCAGAGGTGGGAAATAGGCTAACTTGTATACTCAAGTAGGCTACTGTACTTGTGATTTAGAAATAGCCTACTTGTACTTTAGTTGAGTATGTAAATGGTAGGTTACGTAGTAGGCTACTTACCCCACTACAATTCAGAGGTAAATTGTGTAATTGTAGCCTACTCCCCTACATTTATTTAATACGCTACCTTTAGTTAAGTCTACAA